CTGTCATATACTATAGTATACACAGTGGTATATACATTGGCATATTCAAAATCATTACACAAGTAAGGCATTTTTCCATTTCTTGGAAAGAGAAAACAGAAATATTAGGAAGTAATAAAAAATAACATGTGTGTCTTAAAAATAAGATTTAAATATTAACAGAAAAATAGCATAACAAAATACTAACATCATGGTTTCACATAATAAGATGTCTGCCTGGATTCTTAAATGCATTCTTTCCAGGCCATTTGTACACAAACTTTTCTATGTCTGGGATACTCTTCCTTCTTCTATTTTCTTAGCCAGCCAGGTCTTATTCATTCTTGAGGTCTCAGCATAATATCTCCTCAGGGGAGCTTTGCTGGCCTTGCAGATTTTCTATATGGCCCTGTTTTATGGTCTTATTGAATACTATAACTTCCCTTTAAAATGCATCAATCTAATTAAGGAGTTATTCATGCAATTATTAGTTTAATGCTCTGCTTTCTTGTTAAACTATAAGCTCCATTTGCGCAGTGACCATGTCTGTCTTGATCTTCATTGTGTCCTTTTAAATAGTGAGCACTCTATAAATAATTCTTGACAAATGAACAAATTGTGAGATGGAGATCAAGACTAATCTGAAATAAATCTGTATTGATGGATGACATATTTAAAAATCAATATACAAGTAAGAAGACCCTGAAAAAAACCCAATATTTTTCCTTATCTGTTTTTCTCCTCTTTGTGAAAGGAAAATATGAATATTAAAAAATGAGAATACAAAAAATGAATGAAAGCAATCAACAGAACAAGTTGAACTATTATTCTCTTTTGAATTGTTATTATATGGTCAATAGCCTTTACCTGCAAAACATACAGGTTTGGTTCTTCTACATCCATATGCTACCAAGATCAATTCACAGAACCTTCTGGAAGCTCTATACAAGAACACCCCTCCCCCCATGCCAATTCCTGAAACTTAAACTGTAGATCAAATATTGTCTGTGTTAAATATGAATTCATATTGATTCTAACATGTTCACTTGGAAGACCAGATAACGGTTACTTGCAACATGTACTTCTGAAATCCGATTTTAAAAAATGAGTTCAGAGGCCGGCCCGGTGGCGCACTCGGTAGAGTACGGCGCTTGGGAGCGCTGCGGTGCTCCCACCGAGGGTTCGGATCCCATATAGAGACCGGTCCGCTCACTGGTTGAGCGTGGTGCGGGCGCGACACCGAGGGTTGCGATCCCGTTACCGGTCACGAAAAAAGACAAAAAGGAAAAAAAAAATGAGTTCAGTTTAACATTACATATTTCTCCCAAATCCATGAGGTCAGAGTCTATGCTGGTCATATTGGGTGAGTTACACAACTAGAAGTAAGACAGATGGGGATTTAGCATTAATGGAGTTCAAGAGTACCATCAGTTAAGGGTTCAGGCTGGAAAATGAATTGAAAGAGGGATCCCAGACAAAGTGATTAAAATCCAATATCCAATGAGAAAATGGGATTTCAGGGTCTTTGGAGCCCTGTTAGCTCCTCCCAGCACAATGTTTTTCCACTCACCTCACCAAAATACAAAATATTTCTTAAGTAAGAATTCTACACTCTGTTGATGTCAGATCTGGCTTCTGGCTGGACAAGAAAATTACACAATACCTCTTGATTTGTTCTCAGCCTAAGGGGCTAAATCCTCATTGTAATCTTTTGGGTTTCTCAGGTATGGAAAGCTACTGAGGTTGTAAAAACCTTTGTAGAAAGGAAATGCATAGAAACTCTTTCTGTAAACCGAGCAGTCCTGACACCACGTGACACACACTTGAGAAAGGGACTTCCTCATAAATGTGAGAAGGAAGATTTATAAACAAAGTTCACTGAAGATGGGAGCAGCATTGCTCACAGAAGAGAGATCAAACACTCCATAGAAAATACATGTTACAGTGCAATTGCCCTCTGGGAATCACAGGATTATGAAAGTCTAACTTAATTAAGGGAGAAAATAGGTCACATTTAATAACCACATACGTGACACATCATTTTGACTGTATAAAATAACTGAAGATGAGAGAAAAATTAAGAAATCAGAGATATAAGAAAAGCAGCCACAAAATTCATCAATCTCTTCTATTCCATCTAAGTCAGGTCTTTTCCTTTTGCTTATATGACAAATTCACAAGTCTTCTAATTTTTTTCTTTAAAAACATTTTTGGTATGCTTGAAAAAAGAAACTCTGGGTGTCAAAAGAAAGAGAAACAAAGTGGCCTAATCAAAATTTTTAAAAAAGCAACAAAAGAACTGATTTAAGATGTAATAAATATTCTTCTGTTTATGAAAATATACCATGCATCTTTCCTTCCTTTCTCCCTCTCATGTCATCAATTGACAGGTAATCAGATATTTGTGAACCCTGCATGGAATCTCCCCCCTTTCAGGGCTCTATGTCCCTGTGGGGTCGAGCTAATTACAGGTACATTTCCTCTGCAAGGCAGTCACACTCTGTACTTGTTGAAGGCACAATTAATAATTGAACAAAGCTAGCTGGAATTTTTTTTTTGCTCACATGGCCACGGGTTGCAGGCAGCTTTGCTATCACCCAGGGAGCAGAGTCTCTTCTTTGGGCATCTCCAAGAAAGACTGCATTATTGGCTGAAAAGGATCACTCTTGTTTCCAAATTTTGAAGAAATAAAAAAAAAACTTAAAAAAACAAAAACAATCAAATCTTAGTTTCCTTCACAGAATAGTAAAGGTAAGTTCTCTTTCCTGTCACCAGAATATGATTTTGATCAGTGGTTATTTAGGTTAGATGTGAAAGAAATGAAAGAGTAGGCTTGGGAGTTAACGCACTTTGTAGGGGAGAAGAGTATTCTGCCCTCGACTCTGCACATGCATCAGGGAGCTAGTTTTGCATGTGCCATAACAGAATTTGATCCACAAAGAGATCCTAGAGAGATGACTGTGGAGAGTAAAGTTTTTGCCCTTGAGATGTCTGAAGGATATCCCCAAAGTCCTATGGTGCCATGAACGACTGCAGCAGATCCTTGTCCTGTGTCCCAAGCCACAGTCTTGAGCAGAGTCTGTAAACTTTTTAAGTTTTTTTTTTTTTTTTTTTTGTGGAGTAGGGAAGTATACATGCGGTCAATCTTAAATAATTTGGTAAAAGATTTAAATAAAGTTCAAAAAATAGGAGGGCCTCAGAAGTTATTTACAGTGATGGTGGCGAGAAGGGGGAGGAAAGGATGCAGAGAACATTCCTGGGAAATGATTTTCTGATGTGTAATCAATTAGTATCAATAGCGGGAATCCATCATGAGCTCATGCAGCTTAGTTCATGCCTGTTGCACATCACAGAACCAGATGCCAAGAACAGGACATTAGGTCACATTTCCTGACAGATTTCTTCACAAGGTGCTACATATTAGGAAACTATAGTTAAAAACAGAGCAAAACAAACAAATATACAATCATTTATGTAAATTTAATTCATATAAAACATTGCCCTAAGACACTCACGCAACAAACTGGCATACATCTTAGATATAATATTAAGGCATTACTGCTTCTATATTTGTAGCCTCGGGGGGCAGGTGTTCTATTGAAAATGAAATAAGATGCACACACACACACACACACACATATTTAGTACTATGGTTGTAAACTTTATAGAGATGAACACGTTAGCTAAGACCATGAGGACTCTAAATAAGACCTATGCTGCAATTCTCTTAGTGTTTTAATAACCAGATGCATGCTTGTCCTACTGATTCAATGGAATCTCAGGAGCATGAGTATATCTTAAACAGCATGTAGTATCCTGAAAACTGAAGGGTTGCTTACCAGTTGGTGTAAGGTGTCTCCAGGTAATAACAGGTTCAGGACGGCCATTGGCCATGCAGACCAGAGTCACATTGCTGCCCTCATTCACAGTGACATCCGAGGAAATGTTGGAGATCTTTGGTGGAACTGTAAAGACAAAAGCAAATTGAATGTGTAACTACATCAGTAAGATCTGGATTGTAGCAATGGTTTCTGCAACTGGAAGTGGTGTATTTCAGCTTTCATAACTTAATTTGAATTTTTGTGTTAAGAAGTCAAGGTGCTTTTAAGTCCCATGATGGTCATCTGCTCACCACCTCTGTAAGGAAATCCTAAGGCACTACTTCAAGATGAGACTAGCTCCCACTCTGGCAATCTGAGTGCTGCAGGAAGCACACAGAGGAATACAATAAAAATATCTTAGCTCTTTTCTGTTTAGAATGGACCTTATTTAGATATTAGAGAGCATGCACCTTTGTACAAATTAATATTACAATTTTTTATCATTAAGGGTTACTTAAATTTATTTTCTTATGTGTATAAAATGAATATCTCCAATCTCTCTTCCATATGCCAGAAAAAGAAAAACCATGTTATTTAGTATGAAATTGCATTGTTGTGTTATTGAGATATGGTTGTACCTGGTTACTTATAATCTAGCCACATAAGGAAACAATGGGTTAATCACAACAACAGAAAGCCTCTACATACCATCTGACATGTACCATGTGACAGGTTACATGATGTACTTTAGAACTTAAAAACTAAATTAATAAGGCCTATATCACTGACATGTAGACATTAAAAAATACTATTACCCCTAATACTATCAGTACTACTAACAATAATAGCTAGGTTTAATTGAACATTTACTATATATGAGACCTCATGTAGCATGCTTTATAAGAACCATTTCAATAACTGCTTATAATAAAAAATGATATCCTATGAGGATTATATTTCTGGGTGGGAAATCGAGGCATAGAGGGGGCTAGGTGGAGGGCAGAAAATGAATTTGGATCCGGGCAGACTCCAGGGCCTGTGCTCTTAAGCACTGCTTGAATGAAATTTCATCTTCACAATCCAGGCTACCAGATGGCCGAATACGACAGAAATTACTTTTTGGTGATGTGAGAAATGAGTCCCCAAGGGCAAGCTGTACTGCTGCCTGACTTCCTTCATTAGTGTTCAGGGTGGCAACATTAGATCCCACATTGGTAGGCTTAAGTGGGAAGTGAATTACTCACAAATATCATCACAGAGGTGATGCACTGATTACAAATAGCAGGGTTTATGGCTTGACTGTGATTTCCTTTTCCTATTTTTTTTTTTCTCAATTGCTTATGCTGTCCCTGTGAAATATGTGTCTGGGAGTGGGAGGAGGACAGCGAGCATGAAAGAGTTCAATAATAAAAGAATCATCTTTTCTCACTCTTCCTGCCCATTAGGGGCTCTGTGTAGTGACAGAGAAAACAGGAACATTTTCTGCCTGGAGAAGCAAATGCCTGACAGCCATATGATCCCTGCAAATCCTTGTTAGGAGACATTGATGGTGCTTGGACAACTGACCAGTTCATTGTCATAAGGAGGAACTGGTAGGAGGACTTTTGAGACTGTAGCATTCTACTCACAATGACATCTTGTAGGGCCTCTGAGTAGGAACTGGTGATTCCAAATCAAACCCAATGGCAGAAGTAGACTGAAGTTGATTCCCATTATTTAGCAGTCTCTATTTTCAGAGTTTTTACTCCCCCTTTTAGCTATTGGGGTGAAGGATCATTTTCTTGTAGTCACACATCAACTTGCAATATGTTCTCCTAGACTTTTATGATGAAGACCTGAAAGGTCATACCCATTTTACGGGGAAGAACATGAGGTACAGAGAGGAATAACGGTTTGTCAAGGGTGTTCCCACCAAGAACCATGGCTGGGCTTAGAATGCAGAGCTCCTGAATATCCATCCAGTGTTTCTACTAATATACACAGTTTCTACTTCTCAGCTGAGTAAGCCAGTATTCTCAATATCTCCAAAACAACTGCAATAAAATATAAGTCAGTGATGGTGTTCAAGACAAGTTTTAGACATACTAGGTTTCTTTCTCAACAATCTAAATCCTGTAACAGTAAGCTATATAACAATTTTAAGAGCCTAAATTACTCAAATTGTAGTTACCTCTGAACTGCAAGACAGGATACAGTGTAAAGAGAAGAAATATAGAAAAACAGATGTCTTCTAATAAAAAAGGGGGGAGGCTCCATATCCCTACTATAAAAGCAAGCAGATTTACAAAACAGAAAATAATTCCGTGATTAAGAGAATTATTCCCAGAAGATTATTACCTGTGATACAATATATGCACATTGCCTCTTTTTTCTTATAAAAAGAATGTATAATAAGAACTTTGCATTTACATGACACATAAATTAAGCCATTTGTTCAATGTGACATAGAAAGGTACTGATGTATGCACATTGCCTCTTTTTTCTTATAAAAAGAATGTATAATAAGAATTTTGCATTTACATGACACATAAATTAAGCCATTTGTTCAATGTGACATAGAAAGGTACTGATATCATTCAGAATAAAATCTAGAATGATTGACTTCAGGGCTGTGTTCTGGCTACCAAAACATACTGCCTCTCCTAATTAAGGACAATATACTCAGGTCCTGGATCTCAGAGACTAGAGATACAGAAAGTGTTTGTTTGACAGTTAGAAATGCAACCACGTGGTGTCATTGACCCATTTGCCTCTGGATTACTTCCAATGGGTCTCACTCTATTATTTATTTTCCTACTTTATTTTATTTTGTACCAGCTTCTTCTCATAAGCACTTATATTTGATGTAACCTTTTTGCTCTTGAAAGAAATACCTTTCCAAACCCCATGTTACCCTCTTACTAACTTTCAAACTATCTTTCCAAATTTCTTAAAGAAATTACTCTACACCACATCTTTAACTCTCACTCACATTTCAACCTTCAGTGCAATCTGGAATCTCTCCTTAACCTCCAAAGAAGCTGATCTCAGGAAGCTCACCAATGGCCATATAATTTCTAGGTTCGTGGACCATTATTTTTGGTTTCTATTTTTCTCTGAAGTGTTTGACTCTGTTGATCATAACCTCCTTCTTCCAGTCCTTTCTTTTCTTGGTTTCTAGGACATATACTCAACTGCATTTCCACTTACCCTTCTGATCAGCCTTCCCAGTTTAACTTCTGGGTTCATCTTTTCCTGTTCCTTAAATATCTATATTTAAGGGCTTGATCACTGTCCGCTTTCTTCATTTCAATCTACATATTCATTGAGTGATCTCATCTCCTTTCTAGCTTCAGAAGCTAAAGCCATGTTATCCATTCCTCCCAATATCTCCAGCCTAGATTTTTCTCATGACTGTTGCAACTACATTTCCAACTGATATTCTATATCCCCATCACATGCCTCATAAATGCCTAAGATTCAACATATTTAGAACCAAAGTCATCATCTTCCTTCCTACAAAACACTTGTGTTTTGTTACCTTAGTGAATGGTGTCATCATATAAAGAGCTGCCCAAGCAAAAATTCAAGGCATCTGCCTTGACTACTCTCTCTCCTTCACTGCCCCCACATAAAATTGATCCCCAAGTTCTGTGTCTTATACCTTTTAAATATCTCTCAGATGCATTCATTATTCCCAGTCCATACTCCCACCAAGCCTTGGTTGACATTAACATTTCTTCTTTATTTTTCTGCCTGAATTACTGCAGGAGCATTAAAACTATTTCCTTTGTCTTAGCCTTCCTCTTCTCATACTCATCAACCTACATTCCCCACACTGCAATCAGGTTTTTTTTCTGAATTGTAAATGTGAGTGTAGTATTCCTTAATTAATCTCATTGCCCTCAAGATAAAATCCAGACTTCTTAATATGGTTTAACAGGTAATTTGTGATTGGCCCTGCACATCCCTCCAGCCTCCTTTCCTACTCTCTTTGCATTGCATCATCCAGTCAGATGAAACAACTTTTGGTTACTAGAATATGCTCTCCTTGCTTACACCCTATATTTGACATTCTATTTTTTGTATATGGAATATTCTTCTTTCAGCTCTTCATGTGGTTGTCCTTTACCCCTTCAGGCTTCAGCTTGTCTTCTTACTCTTTTCCAGGCAGACTTTCCTGTCATCCCCCACCTCCACCTCCACCTCCACTCGGCTCCCAACACCATACTGGGTGAAGTGCTCTGCTGTGTTCTCACCTTGTGTCCTGTATTTTTCCATCACAGCACCAAACCCTGACTGCCAGATTACTTAACCGTGCCTTTCACTAAACTGTAAGAGGCAGGAAGCAGGGCCTTTGTGTACTTGACCATTGAATCTTACAGAGCATGCTGCTTGGACATGGTAAATGCTCAAAAAGTGTTCGAAAAAAATTACTTATGTTCCCCTGAACCCAACTCGTTACTTAGTTCAAGGAAGGTATCTTGTTGATTTTTGTAAGAAAGAAGTAAGCTTTTATTGTGAGCCAGTAAAATCCAGCTTTTATTAGTATTTCTTTAGCTATCCCTCTAGTCATCTATTTCACTATCAATTTCTTGGACTCTTAATGAAAAAAATTAACCATAGAGAGGAGAAGTGTTTATGAAATTATTAGACCTGTACCTCTCACCATCTACTCAACTCAAAATGGATTAAGGACTTTAATATAAACCCTGAAAATATAAAACGCCTAGAAGGAAACATAGGGAAAACACTTCAGGTTGTAGGACTGGGCAAAGACTTTATGAATAAGACCCCAAAAGTACAGGCACCAAATAAATAAATAAATAAATGGGATTATATCAAACTAAAAAGCTTCTGGAGCAAAGGAAACAATCAACAGAGTGAAAAGACAACCTACAGAATGAGAGAAAGTATTTGCAAACTATGAATCCAACAAGGGATTAATACCCATAACATACAAGGAACTCAAATGATTTAACAATAAAAAACCAAATAATCTGATTAGAAAATGGGCAAATTAATAGACGTTTCTCATAGGAAGACATATAAATGGTTGATAGGTACATGAAAAAATGCTCGACATCACTAATCATCAGGAAAATGCAAATTAAAACCACATTGAGATGTCATCTCACCCCAGTTAAACTGGCTGTTATAAAAAGACAGAATGATAAATGCTGGCAAGGATGTGGAGAAAGGGGAACTCTTCTACGCTGTTGGTAAGACTGTAAATTAGTGCAGGCTTTTTGGAAAACAGTATAAAGGTTTCTCAAATAACTAAAGATAGAACTACCATGTGATCCACCAGTCCCATTACTGTGTGTATATGCAAAGGAATGGAAATCTTCATGTCAAAGGGATACCATTCTCATGTTTATTGTAGCTCTATTTACAATAGCCAAGATATGGAGCCAACCTAAATGTCCATTGATGGACAAGTGTATAAAGAAAATGTGGTGTGTATGCACAATGGAATACTACTCAGCCACTAAAAAAAAGGAATGAAATTCTGCTATTTGCAGCAACATGGATGAACTTAGAGAAAATTATATTAAGTGAAATAAGGCAGGCACAGAAAGAGAAACACTGCATGTTCTTATTCATAAGTGGAAGAAGAGATAGAGATAGATAGATGAGAGAGAGAGAGAGAGAGAGAGAGAGAGAGAAGAAAGAAAGAAAGAAAGAAAGAAAGAAAGAAAGAAAGAAAGAAAGAAAGAAAGAAAGAAAGAAAGAAAGAAAGAAAGAAAGAAAGAAAGAAAGAAAGAAAGAAAGAAAGAAAGAAAGAAAGAAAGAAAGAAAGAAAGTGAGCACAACAATACATTGAACTTTCAGGAGAGAATAGAACTGTGGTTATTAGAGGGCAGAAAGAGGGAGGGGGAGGAGGTTAGGGAGAAACTGGTTAATAGACACAAAGAATGAGTATGTTTTGTAATGATGAATATGACAACTGCCACATTTGATCATCACATATTGTAGACAAATACTGAGTCAACCCTGCACCCACAAATACGTATAATCAATTATGTTTCAATTTTAAAAAGCCACGAAAAAACAAAAACAAACAAAAAAATATTTCAAGAACATAGGAAACAAGAACTTGGTATCTATTTTCCTCAGTTAATGACTTTCTGAATTTTAACTTCCTTGTTTCTTTTCTATGAGTCACAGATGAATGGATGGATAGGTGGATAGATAGGTAGATAGACAGAAAGAAAGAGTTGAAGATAAAACTTTTTTAATCTAATGGTTTACTAGTCCCTTTCTAGTTTCTTGTAGCAACTCATGGAATTTAAATGTAGATCATTACTGATAACATCAAGGTGGCAATTCTAAGATTTTATGCTATAACCTCATAAAATCTTTATAAAAATTCTGGGAAGTAAAATATATTAGTAGAAGTAGTACCATTTTGCACATGTAGAAATAAGGGACAAAATGGGTAAAACTCACATAGCTAATAAATAATAGAGCTAGGACCATAACCTAGTATTTGCATATTTCACAAAGTTTGCTTTTCCTCTAGATCACATTCATTCTGCAAACGTGGTGCAAAGAATATTTTTTGCTTTATTTTAATTCTCAGTAAGGATGACTACCTAGGAAGCAGTGCTTAACATGATGATCTTATTTGCATCAGCAAATGTAAGTTGTTTATTTTTCAAAATCACTGTAATATTGAATTATGCTCAATTCTTGGGTTATCATAGTATTCTAAATAGTGGTTTTCTTTTTTTCTTTCTGGATGATCCCCTAACAATTCTTATTCACAGGATATTAGTGTGATTTATTATATTTTCCTACATGTAATGCCATGAACCATTTATTTGGTTTTTAACCTATTCAGTTTCAGTGATCTCTACAATTTGTCTGGATTATTTTGTTTTTCTTACTGATTAATGAAAGCAACTTATACTATAAGAAATTGACCTTTTGTTGTCATATTGAAATTTCCTCAATTTATTCCTTGGCTCTTAATTTTGTTTGTGATTATTTTTGTTTTGCTGAAGTTTACAATTTCTTTATTGTTCTATCAATTGCTCTTCTTTTGTGATTTCTTCCATTACTTTTGTTCATAGGTAGTCCTTCTGCAACATAAGATTAGTTAAATACTTATCTCTATTTCTTCTTTTTCTTTTAATTGCTTGTTTCATTTTTTTTATTGAACTCTTTAAATCATCTTGAATTTATTTGTGAATGTGAGTGTGAGAGATAGTCAGGGTTTTCCTTCCACAGTTTTTAAGCCAATTTTCCCAATACCATTTATTGAATAATATAAAATGCATATACTATTTTGGTTTTCAAAATCACCCTATAAAGTGCTACCTATAAAGTGCTTGTCCGGTCCAGTATTTCTGGCAAGTGTAAACATAAAGCTTATTTACCATGCCAGGTGATTTTAACAAAATTAAAATATGTCATTAATCTTTTCGATACCACACTATTATAAGGGTTAACTTTAGGATCTGAATTATTAAAAAGGTAGTGTTCTTTCATTGAGATGCACATAAATTCTGAGTTAAAGAAATCTACATTTTTTTCTATTCAGTACAAATTTAATGGTGGTTTAAAAGATAATGCTAACACCTAAGTGCACCTAAATCATGGATTCCTTCAGCTGTGCAATGAACCCTCCTTAAGTAAGATTGTAACACAATCTGGCTCTATTGCCACATTTGTATGTTTCTCCTGACTCCTTTTGTAATTCCTTTACCCACCCTCTCTACCAGATCTCTAGGGTCGTTCCCAACTTTTTGGAACCCAGAGCCAACTGTACATGTATATACAGTTCTCTAGTTTCCAACTCATCCTTTCTTTTTGCACGAGGGTTCTTCAAAAAGTTCATGGAAAAATAAAATTGAGAGACAATGTAAATCTTTCCATGAACTTTTTGATATTCCCTCATCTAGCAGTAACATCTTTTATGTATTACAAAGAGTGGAAATGCAGGCAAAGACAGGGACGTACATAGAGGAGACATCTATTGTTTTACCTGCCCAGAATCTGTGCCTATTTCTTCTGGTAAGACACCCTGGTTTTCCTTTGGGGAAACCACCCACAGCCATTGGTTTGCTGAGACTATTCATCAAGTGACCATTTTCCCTTGGTCAAGAAGTGGGTGCATAACCTAAGCTGGGCCATTCCCTATGGAACTTGTTTTTTATAAGGAATTACTTGAGAGGTTGAAATAGATTTCACCTGTGGTGGACTGTGTCATAAGCCCCATTCTACATTCCTCCCTGTAACCACACCAAGGACCATGTCTATGTCCCTATGGAACTTGTTTTTTATAAGGAATTACTTGAGAGGTTGAAATAGATTTCACCTGTGGCGGACTGTGTCATAAGCCCCATTCTATATTCCTCCCTGTAACCACACCAAGGACCATGTCTATGTCTTCCTACAGTGGGTGGCACATGTTTTTCTATCCCTGTACCATGTTGCTTACTTTCATCAATAGGATGTCAGAATGTGGAACAAAAGCAGAGATTTGGAAAATGCTGGCATGATTGGACTCACTTGTTCTTGTGTCTCTGCCACTGCCATGAAAAAAAACATGCTCAGCTGAGCCTGTCAGTCCCAAGAGAAGGAGGATGGGAGATGGCAGATAGGATTGCCAGGTAAGATATAGGGTACCCAGTTACATATGAATTTCAGACAAACAACAAATACTTTTTTTGTTTGTAAGTATGTTCCAAATATTGCATGGGACACACTTATACTAAAAATTATTTGTAGTTTACCTAATATCCAAATGTAACTGAGCATCCTATACTTTTATTTTGTAAATCTGGCAACCTCAGGATCAGAGTCACTTCTAGTGAAATCTAGCCTAGATCAGCTGACTTACAGACTTGTAAGAAATGAAGAATAACTATTACTTAATGCCCCTGAATTTTGGAGTGGTTTGTTCAGTAGCAATAGTTAGTTGGTACACATCATGAAAAGGCAACCATCTGAAAGGACTGTTATTTTTACTAGTTTCTGTAACCTGGATCTGTAGAGGTACATGACTTCGGTGCTTTCCAAGATGAGGTTTTCCTGCTTTTTCTTTGATTCTGTGAGTTATTCCATGTTCTTCCAGTGAACCACCTCCTTTTTACATCAGATTAGCCAGGCAATTTCCAACAATCTTGACTGTTACAAATCAGGAAGCAGTCATAAATGAGGAAAATTTGAAATTTTTGTCATCTCTGCCTAGCTACTCTCTTCCTAACCGACTTAGTTGCATGTTTAGTATTGATTCTTACCTATCAGTACACATAGCTTTAAAATAATCC